AGCCCCACATAAGGCTGACACCTGGGTGATTCCCCCAGCCCTTCCCAAGGGGGGTGAGTTTCCCTTTAGGCTTCCCCCCAGGGTGGGGCGGCCTTGCAGACAGAGCCCTTGGGTAAAGGAGCCCCAGGGGTCCCGCAGGGAGTGACCCAAGGTCAGGTGTCCCACGCAGGGATAACAGCGGGGACCCCTGGCAGGAGGGGCAGGGCCTGTGTGTGAGGTGGGTGCCCTGTGCAGAGTTCCCTGTTGGGGAAGGACCTCCCGCCTCCCGTGTGGACACAGGGGTCAGGACCACACCACACTGCTCAGGCCCCCCAGCTGAAGTAGCACAAATCCAGGGGTTGGGGGCCATGCCATCTCCCTGCCTGGGGGATCCAGTGCCCAGAGCATTACCCCTGCCCCAGGGCACAAAGATGTTAGGTCGTGCTTTTCCCAAGCCCTCCTCTTCCTTTCTTGCTTTGATGCTCACAGATGGCAGCTACAGCTAACCCCCGCTGTAGCCACAGCTCCTTGAGAGGCTTCTTAGTCCCTCTGCCTGTCCCCCACTGCAGCTGTGGCCCCCCAGCTCCATGCAGACATGCTCAGTGCCATCCTTTGTCTCAAGCACCAGAAATCAAGCAGCTCCACCCACTCTGTGGCTGCTGCACAGCAACATCTTCCTCTCCACACAAGGCAGGGCTTCTCAGGCATCACTGGGGCACCATGTGGTGCCAAGCACCTGGCTTCTGCTCCAAGGCCAGCTGCAGGCATTGCATATAGAGGGTGCCACCACTGTCCTGTACCTTCCAGTCTGGACACCTGGCCTTGGAGGTCACATGCAGAGGATCCCAGCGCCTCAGGGTCTTTCTGAGGTGCTGTGCAGGTTCCAATACAGCCCGAGTTGCTGTAATACAACTGCCAAAGAAGCAAAGTTGTGAGCATCAGTGTAACACTGAAGCACTGATATCCACTGTCTTCCATCCCATGGTACAGCAGAGCAGGGGATAACACTTGCAACGTGCAGAACACTTCACAACCAGTCTGCAGGACAGCACCCAGCCCTGCAGGGCGTACCTCCTGCCCATGCAGAGGAGGAAGCCTCACACAGGCCACATTCCCTTAACCCACCACACTTACTTGTGCTGTGACCCCTTGCCTGGGCTGCAGTCAGTGGGTGGCTCCAGAACAAAGCAGTCCATGGCAATGCAGTGAGCCAGGACAGCCACCTCCACATCGCTGAGGTCCCTCGCCCTGCGCAGGAACCGTGCCAGCCTGCAGGCACACAAAGGCAGCAGTCAGCAGCTGCTGTCCAGGGTGGGCATCCCACTGGGTCCCACCTTGCCTGACCCCAAACTACCTGCACATAGTGCCCTGTGACAATGGGAAAAGTCCTGCCTTTTCCTCCTGGACACGCACCTGTGAGTGCAGTTGCAGTGGAAGAGCATCCGGGTGTCCGCATTGTGCAGCTGGTACTTCACCTCGTGGGGTGCGATCTGGTGCTCGCACTTATCCAGGTGCTTGTAGCACCTGCACACCCTGCCTGGGCCAGAGGAGAGCAGGAAAGCGATGGGCATTCACAGCACACAACCCCCACAAGCTGAGGCCTTGTGACACCCTGGCTGTGGCACACACTCAGCCCCCAGCAGCTACCTACCCTGCTGCCTCCGCCCCTCTGCGGCAGGCACTGGGGTGGCTCTGCACTGTACTGTGGCCGGGCTAGATCTGACGCTGCCATCCTGAGGGTGGGCCATGCAGGCAGGGCCTGCTAACCCCCCCGGCCCTGGCTGTGGTCCTCCCGGCACCAGCCTTCCTCCAGCGAGGTCCTGTTCCAACACAGTCATTGCTGTTTGGTGGCCAGGCTCCAGTCCCCACCGTGCTGCTGAGTGCCTGGTTGTGGGTTCAGCCTTGCCCCTGGCAGACACAGGGGACGAGGTACCCGGGTGCTGTAACTGCTGGGCTGTCACAGGTCTCCGTGCCCAACAGAGCCCAGGGTTTTGCCTCAGTCCCTTTCGGAGCCGCCTGCACCCTGCTCTAGAGTGCTTCCTTCCCTTGGCTGGGGGCTGCACAGCAGGAATGCCCGTCTCCGCAGGCAGGCTGGAGTAGTACTGACTCTGCTGCACCATCCTGGCCAGGGGTACCACACCGTAACGCTCACACCTGGGGACGTGACATGCCATGATGCCCCACACACCAGTCCTGCCCTGGCCAAGCTGTGCCCCCGGGCAGCTGGTGAGGCAGCCAGGCAGGGCACGCTCAGGGTTGCAGCAGCAGATGCACCCAGCTGCGGGCTGAGGTGGGGGGCACCCCCCGGGGCACTCACCCTCCCCACCAGTGCCACTGGACACACTCCCTGCTCTCCTCCAGCACGAAGCACGGCACCTCCAGCAGGTTGAAGAAGGTGACACCGATGATGTTGGAGATGGTGTCATTGAGGGCCAGCAGGCACTGCCGGAACCTGGGGGCAGACAGGGGTGGTGAGCGGCCGGCAGAGCTGTGTCCCCCCCAACCCTGCACTCGGCGCCCCCCCCGCCCCCGGCGCACCTGGCATCGCAGTCGCAGTGGGAAACGGTGTGCAGGCGGTAGTTGCG